TTTGCACAGTTTTGGAATTGAGTCACTTGCTAGTTTTTTAGAGTCCATGTTACCTGTAGTGCTTAACAAACTTGGCTTTTTTAGGGTGAAGTTGAAGAGGAAAAAGAAGACATATCTCTTCCACTAGAAAAGAAAAGAAAATTTGAGGGATGTGATAGTGAAATTGACACTCCACAAAATAAAAAGTCAAAAAGAAAAAACAAGAAAGTGAGTGTTTGCGCTTCAGTCTAATTTCCACATGAAAATTGAAAATATGATGAACACAGTTATACACAGAATACAGCTGCATACTTCATTTGTAGTAAAGCAATGTGAATACTAATGGATAGAATGGAGGTTAGGAGGATGGGGATGGACTGGAAGGGGATACAAGAATATTTTTGCAAGAAAGTAATATTTTGAAGGAACCTGCCTATTAAAACATTTGAAACTTGAAATACTCCAACAATCACAAAACCCTTTTATGTAGTCAATTAAACTAAAACTTTTATCATAAATTCTCGAAAGCCATATCTGAAAACTTTAGATCATTACCAGTGACCTTTATCATTGCTAAATGGCTCTGTTTGATCTTATCATCAATCTTTTTTATTTTGCAATTTTTCATTTATATGCTTTGTATTATGTAACTGTCATCTGTTTTTTACACTGATGTAGCTTTTTGGCACAAGAAATATTATTTATTCATTATGTTTTGATAACAGAAAACCCTGAGTCAAGTCCTTGCTGAGCAGAAGCCTGAAGCAGTAACATGTTCAGACTTTATAGATTCAGTTCAGAAACATTTTCAAGACAAATTATCAGCAGTGGAAATGGATGAAGTGCAGCTTGATGGTGAGGAATATTTTTCTCTGAATTTTTGTCTCAGTACAAACATATTTGAATACATATAATTGTTATAAGCAAAAGTTGAACTTCTTGTTTTAAATTGGTGGTGATTTTTAGAGAAAACTTTCACACACTCTAATTCTCTAGTATATTATGTATCAGCTGTTGTTTCTACAAAATTCAAATTGTGGTTAGTCTTGTTATGTTTGTTCTGGTTGTTCTTTTTTTAAAACAATGACTTTGAGAAAAGCAGAAGAGAAATTGCACCTTGATGATCATGTTGTTCAGGCATGCTTTAGAATGCTTTTAGCTGAAAAAAAGAGACCCTCTAGTTGTGATGACTGTTGTACTACCAAACAAAGAATAACTGACATAAAAAATCTTAAATTTATCACACGTTTCCAAATTCAAATAAATTATATTTTTAATTTTGTTAATTTATTCAAACACACAACAGTTTTGACCTATTAATAATAAATTCTATTCTATAACAGCATTACTTAGACTACAATAACAATTTTAAAAGTACATATAGATATAGTAAAATATAAAATAGACATTTTCTCCATTGGGTACACAATATGTATAAAATATGTTATTTGTAATCAAAGAATAAATTGAAAAAACAGTAAGCCTAGCCTTGTCTTTTGTAAGAGACAAATGCCTACTTGTTGCCATAGACAGTTTCTGATCAATGAACCTATTTTTTTTTCCTTATTCTAGACAGTCATTTTATGAAATGTGCATCCTTGAACTGCCAGGTGGCTGACTATATGAGACAGGTTCTCCCCAAGTGGAAGCGTTTGGTGAAAGTCCAGAAGCAGGAGAATGGAGCACCTCTAGTGCTGGTTATTTGTAGTGCCGCATCCAGGGCAGTTCACCTCAACAGGTCAGTTAACTTTACCGCGGCAAAACTGCTCTTTCATCCAGTTAATCAAATCAGGCAGGAAAGCTCAGGGCAGAAGCACTTGATTTAACATGTTTGTTTATTTTTGTGTTTCACTTAAAGGATAGCAGATCTGAAAGGTGGCCTTTGATTTTTTTTTTCTCCACAAAGTAGTTGTATAATGGGATTGCTATTAAAACATCCCATCTATTACCTGTGATGAATTATTGCATGGAATAAAAAGAAGTTATTTATATGAATATGTCTAATTAGAAAAAATAGATAATTTTTTCTTACTTAAAACATCCCATCTATTACCTGTGATGAATTATTGCATGGAATAAAAAAAGGTTATATATATGAATATGTCTAATTAGAAAAAATAGATAATTTTTACTTTTTTTTACAATTTTAGATAAAATTTCAGACCAATTCGATTATAATGGTTTTCAGTTGTTTCTCCATTATGTCAATTACAGAGAAATACAGAAAACATTCAAAGAAAAGTGTAAAGTGGCTAAACTATTTGCCAAGCACATGAAGGTAAATTGCTTGCTGACATTAGAATTAAGTGATGAATATGGATTAGGTTGTCCCAAGTTATTTGATGGTGATGCCTCAGTAGCACAAATGTCTGTAGAATGGGTATGTTAAGACCTGGGCCCCATAACTCGAAAGCATCGTGTATTGCAAATAGCGATATCACATAGAGGCTACAATGTATTATATGAGCGAGTTATGGAATCAAGATGCTTGTGCTCGGTTGCAGTGCGCGATGCTTTCGAGTTACGGGGCCCTGGTTTAGCTTAAACAGTCTCACTAACATCACCAGGAGCGACCCCATTTTAAATCTCACAAGAAGCAGTTTGGTCATTTGGCAACATTATGTAGAACAATTTTTAAATATGAATTATGTATATGATTTAAGAGGCTTGAAAAAATTGATCTCCATTAGTATGAAGGGCCGTTATTAAAATATGTATGTAAAAATGGGTTTTGTTTTGAAAATGCAGATAGAAGAACAGAAGAAGTACTTGGACAGTACAGTGATCCAGATGGGAGTAGGTACACCTCACAGGATAAATGCCCTTATTGAGGAAGGTAGGGTGCATTTCAACTATTAAGTACATGTGTTAGAATGTTAATATTTTCAGTGATTTATAGCAGGCTTGAAGTTTTAAGATTTTTTCTCGTTCTTAAATATTAAATAACCTGATTATAAATTGATATATCTGTTACACTTGGCACTCATTCAATTTGACATGAACAAGTCCTCCCTTGAACCGAAAATAAAAATTATGATTTGATGTGAATGATACGGTTAGCTAGCAAAGCCAGAATTAAATTGACTGCACATTTGATTTGTTTTAGGTGCTCTAAAAGTTGACCAGATTCAACACATAATTCTTGACTGGATGTGGCGAGACCAGAGGTTGCGGCAAATGATATCTATACCAGAAATCAAAGAGGAACTTTTAGAACTCTTCAAGAAGCACCTTTTTAAGCTTGTTAGACAGAAGAATGTTACAATAGGCCTTGTATGATGTGTTTGAGCGTATTTGATTTTTTTTTTTTTTTTTTTTTTTTTTTTTGTTATCTGGATTTCAGTACTGTGTGTTTGTGTGTGTGAGAGAGAGAGAGAAAGAGACAGAGAGAAAGATTGTGTTGTGTTAAAATAAAACCGATGGGGTTCAACATGTTTATTTACAAAAGAAACAAATGTTAGTTTTATATTATATCTGCTAAGTGGCATGAATTTTAAGGGTATTTCTATGAAAATGTTTACAAGTTCTTTATAGTTGCAGTTTCCCAATTTGTTAGTAGGGATTAAAAGCATTGAAGCAAGTCAAACCATTTTGATTGTTCTCACATTTATTCACATATGAAATATCACAGTATATTTGAACAAGGCAAACTGCTTTCCAAGAGTACATAAAAATATATGAATGAGTTACATGCAAGCTGCATATGTACATATGAAATGTATAAATACAAAGAATATATGCGTAATAAATTAATCTTAAGAGATGTCTTCTTTGGCTGATCGCTTTTCCCAGTTATATCCGTCACATTTTTTTTTTTTTTTTGATAGGCAATTCCCTATGAAATAGGAAGTAATTGTATCTAGACAGGAAACCTGGGCGTTATGACGGTTGATAACGCTGTTTTACAACCCATCACTCCGATGACAAGCATCCTGAAATTTTGAAATAAGTGAAATTTCTGGAATTCTTAATACACTAATTTAAAGTGAAACCCCAAAGGATATGGGTACTAATAGTTCGTAGAACTTTTATTTTAGAACAGATAAGCCCCGAAAACATCCCAGATATTTTGAATTCAATTCTACATAAATTCTAATTAACTTCACTGAAGAAAAATTTAAAAATTCTCCCTTCTAATTTCGTTTTTGAAAATATCCCAGAAGTGGAATCGAATGAAGTCGAGCGAAAAACGAGATGAGACGCTCCACACTGATCCGCAGGCAGACTTTGTGCATAGACGTTCCTGAGACTCACTGACGCGGACAAAAAGTGGAAATATTCCTTGGTATTCCTGGGTGAAAAGCACCAGTTAACGTAGCACCACGCAGATCTTAATCTGTGCTATCGGGTACCTGAAAATAAAATGTTTTTTGATGAATAAAATACGTTATCTACGATTTTCATTTATCTATATTGTGAAAAAAACGCTACGCGAACCTTCCACTTGTAAAAAAAAATCCAGCATTTGGTCTTGTTCAATCAAGAGTACCAGAATAACTTATTACGCTACAGACAAGGGAGGAAGATCGCAACTGACAATTAGTGTTTGACTGGTGCCGCGTTCACTAATGATCGTCTGCAGACTGAAATTTAAACATCCAAGTTTTGACTCTAGTGATTGTAGAACTCGTTTTCAAGAAGAAACGGGATAATATGAAGTGCGATGAATTCATAAATTTAAGGTTGACAGTGGCATTACCAATCAAAGGTGGGTGTTAAATTACTTTTGAACAATAGGTCGCGCCCGGTGGCTCAATCATATAAGCCTGATGACAATTTCTGCATCAATTTTAAACCGTCTCTAAAACTTAATAGGAGTGGGAATAAATAGTCTAAAGAATATCTTGATTTCATGAGGAATTGCGCCTTCGCTACCCATGCAAATGGAATGTGAAATTGCTGTTACGTCGTTGAAAAGGTTACGACGAAATTACTTTCCTGTTATAGCAATACACGTTTATACCTCCTCCACCCCCCCCCCCCAAAAAAAAAAAGAAAGAGAAAAAGAAAAAAGAAAACGTTCACACTTATTTCCTGTGCATCCTTACCTTCACATGCTTTTTCTGCAACCATTTCTTTAATCTGTGCTAACGAATTGTAGTCAATCGCACGGAATACGTGGCTGTGGACGGGAGAGGTAGCTATGCTGTAGAGTTCCCTAAAGTTCACTTGGCCACCTATTCCCAACGCGAGGACAATGGGCGGGGACGAAGTGAATTTTTTTAACTTTGCCGCAGCCTCAGAGGTCTTTTCCGGGTAATATGACTGGCCATCAGAAATTACAATCACAACTTTCTTGGCGTCGGCTCTGGCACCAAACTGAGGTTTCAGAAAACGTCCTGTCATTACTTTTTCCAGAGCTTTGTCTGTTCGTGTACCTCCTCCCATTTGTTGCACGGCTAACATGTGACGGAGAAGATAGTCTTTCTTGCTGTATGTGTTCAGGTAAAATTGATCACGGGGGCGGTCGCTGAAAAGCATGAGAGCAACTTGGGTTTTATCTTTCCCGATGTTAAATTCAGCTACCACGTCGCGCAGAAAAATCCTTAACTTCTTGAAATCTTCTGGCCAAATACTTGAAGATGCGTCGACCACAAATACTATGTCGGCAGGATTTTCTCCGCATTTCACCAGTTCGGGTTTGGCTGAAGAAAAAAAAATCGAAGAAAATTACTTGGGTAATTCAACTTGTCTCTATATTTTGAACTATCAAGATATAGTTCTTTAGACTAAAAGCAATCATCAAGCCTAAACATAACTATATAGGACTTACATTCGTCTGCACAGGCTTTTTTGTTGCATTCTTGAGATTGCTCCCTATCCCCTTGGCATTCTTGTCCCCCGTGTGCAGGTGCTGGGTTGTCACATGCTCTCTGTCGTGTCTGTTTACCGCCTCCACATGGGACAGAACACTTTGTCCAACCAGACCAGTCGCCCCAATTACCAGCAACTGGAAGATGTAAAGTTACATTAATATTGATAATAAGCGAAAAGAGCCACATTTGTTATTAGCAAGAATCAGCTGTCTGTCTTTTGGAAAATGAATTAAAAAGAATCATTTGCCGGTAAAGGAACTGTTTGAGATTAACATTAGAAAAACGAAATGGCCCTCACTCGCTTATTTCAAGCTTAGACGGTCTCAACGAAGGTCATCAACAAAGCGCTGTATGTACCCACCTGGACACTCCTTTACTTTGCAGCTTTGTTGCATTGTGGTCTCCCCCTGTCCACACGGCAGTCCACCATAAGACGGAGGCATGCACACTCGCATCTTCATCTTTTTACCTTCCCCGCAGGTTGCGCTACATGCTGTCCAAGCACTCCACGATGTCCAGTAACCATCGATTGGACAGAGGTCAGTGTTACACGAGACTGTCTCCTCGTCCGCTCCATTACAATCTTTTCCGCCATGCTGAGGAGGCACGCACTTTCTTTTGCGCGATTTTGTGCCTCCTTCACAGCTTTTCGTACAAGATGACCACGGACTCCACGGCTCCCATTTTCCATTCACTGGACATTTTTGAGTATTACAGGATAGCGTTTCTTTCGTATCGCCTCGGCAGTCTTCTCCGCCGTTGCTTGGTTTTGGTGCTGTGCAGGTGCGAGTCCGTACTGCCAAACCGCCACCGCAACTAACACTGCAATCAGTTTGTTCCCAATCTGACCAACCGCCATTCACGGGGCACTCTCGAACTTTGCACGGGACAATATCCTCGTCAAGGCCAACGCAATCTTCCCCTCCTCGTTCCGGAGCAGGTGAATTACAGTAACGAAAACGCCTTTTGAAACCGCTATCACACGAACTGGAACAGCTACTCCACTCCGCCCATGTTGACCAAGCACCGTCCAAAGGCATAGAACACGGCTGCAGATTGCATGAGCTTATCTCTTCTTTATCCCCCTTGCACGGCTGCCCGCCATGTTTAGGGGTGGGATCATTGCACATTCGATATCGCGTTTTCGTCCCCCCTTCACATGACTTAGAACACGTGCTCCACGGACTCCAGTGAGACCAGTTCCCGTCTTCCGGGCAGTTTTGAATATTGCACCCTCTGAAATCTGCTTTAGAGCCATGGCAGTTTTTTCCGAAGTGTGCCGGGGAGGGGTTATTGCACAATCTCATTCTATGTTGAGTACCACCTCCACAAGTGAGTGTGCAGGTGGTCCATGATTCCCAAGTGTTCCATCCGCCATGGATCGGAGGAGGAGTTGTCCCTAAAAAGTATCCAATAATTTTTTTTACGTTTTACATATTATCAATATTACCAGTTACCTACCATTGCATTACAGAATTGTGAAGGATGCATTTAACTGATTTTTCACTATGATTATTTTCCATCATGTACTTTTAAATGAATTTTCTTACTTTTAGATGTGAATGAAAACGAAAGATTGTTTTAAAATGGCAAGTTCTAATGGAAGTTAGCGCGGTGCTTCAAAGACAAGTGTTTTTCCAGATTCTGAAGAGCATTTGGGTTTTTTCTAAGATCATATTCTCTTACGCTGAAATAACTAGAGATGTAAGACGGTAAATGTTGCGTCTTTGAGAGTGCCTTATCTTTTTGCGGTCAACGATTCTATTAGCTGGTTGCACACCCCTGTGAGCAGTATTTACCAAAATGTGGTTACCTGAAGTTGCTGCTGGATCGTTTAACACGCCACAAGTTTTCCGTGTTAACTCATCTCGGATCTTATAAAGAGCATCATATCCTTTGACCGTGAAGACATTCTCAGGTTTACTGGCAATACGTTTTATTTCCGAGAAATCTGCAATTTCGCCAACTCCAATGGCAAACATTTTAATGCCCGCCTCTTTTGCCGCCTTGGCCGCACTGTCCGTCTCAGTGGGTACGGTTGATAAGCCGTCTGTTATGACTATTCCGATCTTTCTCGCGCCTGGCCGCGCTCCATTTCTGGTGGAGAAAACATCACGCCTCATAGTTATCAGCGCATCCCCAGTGTAGGTTTCTCCAGGCCTTTGTCGGATTTTATCGATAGCCTTTACCACATCAGCAGTGGTGTGGTATTCGTTGAGGAAAAACTGTACTTGTGGCTGACTACTGAATATCAAAACAGCAACTTGAATCTTGTTCTTCGAAATACTGAATGAGCTAACTACATCTTTCACAAATTTGAGCTGTTGTGTGAAGTCCACTCTCCATATACTTCTTGAGGAGTCGAGAACAAACACTATGTCTGCAGGAGTCATGCCACAGTCGGTTGCTGAAATTAAAAAGAATAAAATGAAAATATAGATTAATCTAAACATGAAAATTCTCAGACACAAGCCTAAAATTTTCCGTACCGTTTGCTTACGGCCAACCTGGTCGGAGGCCTTCATCAAACTGACGTGAGTAGATTAATTTAACAGAAAAACTTAAAAATATGTATTTATTTTTCTCGGATTCTTTCCTTAAAATTTGATTTTCTTTCAATTGTTTAGTTTTAGTTTCTGTATAGATATTATGACAGATCGGATTCGATGTGATTCAGATAAATCAAATTAAACTGAACGGAAAATGATGTAAGAAAGAAAACATGTTAATGACGCCTTAGAAGCAAAAAAACGGGAACAATGTATATCCGGCGCAACTAACCTGTGGTGGTGCGTGGTTTGGGCGTTTTTGTCGCTGTCTCTATGGGAATGTCTCCTCTGTATCGCGAGAATTTGGGTCCTGCAGAAAAAAATACACTATATCAGTAACAAGGTTAATGTAAACGGGTTCCGTAATAACATTTTATCAAAGGCTGTAATAATGAGATGCGGGGTCTTTCAGAAAAATTAGGACACAACACAGGTGCCAGTGGCAGCATTAGTACACGGTAACTCCCCCAGCTTGTCATTGATCAACCCAGAGATGGATTTTTTACAATGCAAGTCGCGAACCTTGCCTACAGGTAGCATTAAGTATTTGTGTTGATGAAAACCTTACTAATGGATTACTACTGGGTGAGAACTTTACAGCCGTTCAATGGTGTTGACCTTGTTGAGGTTTCGCATATATGTTTATCTATTTCTAATGCTCTGTATATCAGTCGTAACACGTGGAGTTGGAGGACACGAACTTGCGCAGAAAAAACATGAGTTTTGGTTAAAAGGATATGTCTGCTCTAGAAATTTGATGCATTCCTTGCGATAGCACGTACGGTGAGGAAGGTCAGAAAGATACAATGTTTCCAATTCGATGCATGCTCCGCAGGCCAGACAGCGTGTATTCTCTCTCACTTCACAGGCGGTATCTCAGACATAATACCAGCAAGTACGAGGAGTTCATCGGTAATAAACACCGCTGGCTCTGCTGCATGAAATATTGCGATAATTTTACTTATTATATGATTAATAAAATTGCCAGTTCGTTGCCGGTAGCTTTGAAGTTTTTTTATTCGCACAGTATGTTGGCTAAGGTGAAGGTAATGATAGAAAGAGGTGGAACCAGTAAACGTAGAAAATATTCCATATGACATATTTTCTTGTAAGTAGAAGCAAGCAAACAAAACCCCGGCAGTCAGTTCTGTTGACCCGCTATATTTGCATGCACGTGAGTTATTACAAAATTAAACCACTGGGGCTAAATTTTATTTCGAGGAGTATTCAAAACACGTACTTTTTCTGTTAACATCATTTGCTTCACAACCTCTGCAGGCTGATAAATAACCAGTCTGGCCGGACGGCCGTCTCAATCCGGCCACTTATATAATGGCTAATTAGGTTCCATATACCTATCGGGGCGAGCTTGAGATACACAAGTAGCTGCTGGGCTAATGTTAACGTAACACGAAAGGCAAATTTGACATATAAAATAATGATCACTGGAGCAAGGTGTGCTTCATTTTTTTATATTTAGGGTATGAACTCCAGGTATATATATTTTTGTACACCTGCATTACCTGAGTGATGGGAATTTGCACCGCGCTTGACTGACTATCATGACTTGCCAACCAACCAAGACATCAAAGGCAAAGGCTTGTGGTTCGAGATAAGAATTGCTCATTTGCTCAGAGTTCTCATTAATGTTGTGAAAACATACTTGACCATAGGAAACCTGAAAATCCGCTATCCCCGTAAATAACTGAGTTAGCTGTGTATTTTTTGGATAACAAAAACCAAACATAATCACTGAACGTGTTAGTTCGTGTCCATTTTTTTGTTTTGTTTACTGCCAGGAAAACGAATCTTGTATCTTGAGCAGTGAATAGCCAATCACCACCTTGTTTCTTTGATCTCTCGGACACTTTCAGTGTATCTCACCTGCAAGATGTATACATATATCTTTTATCAGTGAGACTTTTTATATACCTCCTGTAGATTGCATTCGTTTTTTCTTTTCATTTCCCATCACCTAAATCGTTATAGCCAATCGTAAAGCTTTGTGTTCAGTGAAGTAATCGTCATTTTAGATGCTTACTAATTAGATTTACCCTTTTACCCAGTTGTTAAACTTTCCTGTCGGACCCTTTCAACTTAATTACTGAAATATTTTGTATAAGACTGAAAATAGTCGAACCAGCTCCACAAACTTTTAAAAGTTTATCCATAAGGTATTGTCTTAAAGTAAATTTCACAAAGACAGCCCGGGGGAAACGTGAACAATTCAGAAGGATATTAATTCCCTGTTAGATGCTCCCTTTCAAACAGTGTTTCCTCTTAGTTATATACACATTTTTATTTGTCAAACATGTGCTAATTGGTCAATGTTTGCACTATTCAGGTAAAGAAACATTGGGTCAGACCCAGGAACTGGCCAAACTCATGCCTGGTAAATAAAGAAAACTTGTTTAACGGCAGCCTACTACACAATTTGACTGACTGATTAGCTTAAAATCCACAAAAAGTTGCCTGAATATGCTTCCTGCAAACAAATCAATTAAGCAACATTTCGATGATAAGAGTTCCGACGCAAGCTGTTAAATCTGCGAATTTTTCTCACGAGCACCTGAAAGTTTTGGGAATAGACAGGTATTTATGTTACCGATCAAAGGCATTTTTCAAATCAATTATGTTTATTCAGAACCAAATAACTGGCGCTTTATTTTAATTAATAATGCAAGACACGCCTATTAGTATTAAACTTCGCAGACTTAAAAAAAGAAGCCCAACAAGAGCTTGCTATCCAAGCACCATTGAAAAGCAATTATATTGGAAGAACACTTACGTTCCGGAACAGCATGGATTTCCCATAACCCAAGTAATACTATCTGAAACAATGAAGGATTGGATTTTAAAAGCTGGATATACTTGTCCGTGGTATCCAGTAATCTTAATCTTGCTAATTTAAAGGTGAGAAGGATGGAGGCTAAACAACCTGTTTCCCCCATCATATATTGCAGTCCTCTTAGCTTAAGTGCGTACTGTATTTATGTGTAAAGAATGCCTCTTTTTTCTACATCACTAAAAAAGTAGCAGTACTGGTTTACACATGACATGAATAAATTACAAAAACTAATGCAATGAAAATTAAGCACTGATGCATAGAATAAAGATACTTACCAATGAAATATATAAAGAAGATATCCTAGAGATTGTGAACCGTTCCATTTTAGATTAAATGGAAGGGTCTGCAGGTATCTGAGGTATCGCTGTCAAAATGTCCCTTTCTGCGGGCAGTCCTTGGGCCATCTCCTGTTTTATAGCTGTCACTGTTAATTACTCACTTTAAGTTTAAACCACAAATGTGACAACTATATCAATTTGATATGGGTCTGAATCCCGAAAAGGAAATTTACATGTAGGAATGGGCCAGCGTGAGGCGTGTAGTACATGAGTCAATACGTCAGCAGGTGGGGGAAAACATGACTTGTACGTGAGGTCACGGCGGCAACTTTTTAGACGTGTTGCTTCTTAACAGACAGGCTTTAAATACATTTACGTTCCAGTTTTCTTGCAGTATCCAACTACCACCTGGTGTTTTATCAATGCATGAATAGTCGCCAATAAACGTACCTTTTCGATATGCTTTTCGTTTTGCCTTGGCGTTGTTTTTTTTCTTAATGTAGTCCGGAAGCTTTCCGGTCGGATTGTTGATTATAGTTTGTCATTATATGTTATTGTGTCACACTTTTTAAGTCAATAACTAGGTCAAGCCGCACTGTGATTCATATCTAGACACTATACCTGCGCTGTTTCCTGGGTGCACCGACCTGTGGGAGAGAGAATAAGAAACTACCGGAACAAACACTGCCTGCAATAATGCAGTAATACGTAACAAATATATCTGTGCTTTCCCAATGAAAGAACGTGGAAATGACTATGTTATAAAATATTTGAAGTCGCGGTTTTTTTTTCTGTCTCACTCAGCAGCGATTCCGAACTTTGTTTTCATTTAATATCTGCGATAATGAAAAGGATATGTATCTTCATTCTAGTCCTTCGTATAGATTTGGGGTAGACCGAGGTTTTTGTCCTCGTGTTGTCAGTGTTTTGCACGCTAACCTAACCAGAAAAGTCCAATATCAACAGACTCATTGAACAGAATTTGCTCTGTTTGGCTTCAAAATTATTCCTATTGTTACTCTGACTAAAGCGTTTCAATCTTTTTATATTTGCCATCGGTTACTCATCCGAACTGACATAATGGAATTAGAGGTTTGAAAAAGCTAGACTTGTCTCGAGGCGCTAGGTTTACCACTTGAGAGCAAAGTGATATTTCTAAGGGTTGTTGAAACCGGTTTTAGCGTAAAGTTTACACCTAAAGGGATTGTCCTTGCATTGCGTCTCATTCACCCCGCCATGCTATCTGCTTACAAACGAAGTAAAACAAAAATTCAATTTTAGTGATGGGTACTTAAGACCTGCCATGTTGTCTACAGGGAGACAGATAACAGATAAGAAATTCAAGCGCCGGCAAGAGATTTACTGTGCAAAGTTAATAGATTATCGTGAAAGCCGACATGGAGGCCTATTTCTAGAGCATTGTCTGCTGAATATAGGCTCCAATAAACAAGATGTAAAGCCGATCAAAGGTGACTTTAGGTACAAATAGAGACACATGCCATTTCGTGCAAATAAAAAGAGTGTGGTGTAAAATACAGAGTAAATCCGTTACACCTTAAAGCATTGAGCGCCATCTTAGTCAAAATTTACGTTTAAAATAGATACAGGACATCCATTAACACCTATACGAATTTAATGTTTCCTTGCCCTAGGCTGGGCTGTTTCATCTTCTAAAATGACATTTGCATAAACATAATATACCCACTCCTAAAATCCCACGATTGAGGCGGATACCCCGAGAGGAGCGCTCTTTTATATCTCAGTGTCAGTGAGAATGGCCTTCAGAAAAGACAATATTTCACCACACCATGCGAATTTCAAAATTATACAGCAAATTTATAAATTATTTTCTGAATTATATAGGAGCATGCAAAAGATAAATATACATAAATGATTAAATGCTTGCAGTAAATCTTAATCATATTCAGTAATTAAAATCTAGGAAAAGCTTGAAGTAAAACATCAATGGGATCTTTTGGGTAAATCGTTTGCATATCACCTACATATTTTGTGCACACGTTAGCCAGGAGGAAGAAGAAGTTACCGCAAATCATACCCATTGCCTGTGTCTGAAATGACCATTTCAGCAAGACGTAATTATGCTGTCCATCTGCAGTAAAATCACGTAGAATAGTGCACAACCAAAAAAATAACCCACAAGAATCTTTGAATTGAGACAATTTTATAAGAAAGAAAGATGCTAAAAAGTATTAAACTAAAGATTCACAGTTTTATTCATAGATAGTGAATTATGTAACCAACTCGATCAAAAAGATCTGAAATGACAGACATAATGATGCATTGCAACATCTTTTATATATACATTTCTACATATGTATCATCTTTTTCATACCTTGCTAAAAGGCATTGGGTCCATTAAGATAAGTATAGATCTACCTAAATTTGCTAACTCAGGGACTGCTTCATAAAGCCATGGGTTGTTTTTTATTTCTCTTTGAAGTCTATAGATATGGTTGTCATGCTAAGAATCGGCGAAGAATATCGTGTTTCAGAACATTAGAATAGGCGTGAATTGAGAACGTGAGAAAAACTGCTTGGCTGCAACATAATTGTCCTTTTTAGCTGTTTTTTTTTTTGGAAGTTGTCAAACTTATTTGGAGATTTGTATAATGGGTGCATATACTTTAAAAGCTTACCACAGATTAATGACCGAACGGAATCAAACATAGAGAGATTGCGGTAAGTGTGGCAGGTTTCGCATCTAACACACCACTTCCAGTTGGTGATTTAAATTCAGGCAAGAGTGTGCTATTTTAACTAATACAATCAACATTATATTTCTGAGGCGATTTTTTGTTACATTTCACAAAGTGCACGGCACTGACTCATATTACACATTTTCTTAAGTCCATTCATTTCCAAAGTTAAGCCTTATACATCTGGACAGCACATCTTCCCACATTTTCATTTGATAGTTGCATGCAAGCATAATTTTGTAGTCGATAACTAAAAACCACATAAAAAGATTTTACAACACATCTCACTAATCTGCCATAAGCCAGAAAACGATCAAAATCGATATGGTGTTTTCAACGAATTTTTAAAAATCGCAATAAATAGGCCTCGTTCAATGTAATGACTTTATAACGGCCTATAGGCCTACTTACATTTAGGCCACATTGTATCAAGTAGACAGTCGAGCCTATTTTTATTATAAACTGGTCAGAATAAAAACGTATTACTGTTTATTAATTAAGATTTACGACTATCATTGTTCGCCTTAATAAATCACAGAAATCTCCTCGTTTCGGGTAGAAAAGATAGGGCCTACATAATAAACTTGTTCACTTGTCTGCTTTTTCTATCTACAGGTGAAGTGGACGTATTCTTTTTGTAATATTTCCTTCTAGCACATTAATTTTTCTTTAATATTTGATAATTTGGACAGAATTTTGGACAGAAAACGCATTTTTGGGCACAGGCCTGCTCTCTTTTCCATTAGTACAAAACAATGTCACAAAAGTCAGGTAGGCTATAACATATGATGGATAACAACGCAAGCGAAATGTCTCCAAATGTGGGTTCTGTAACGATATATGTTGTGACGGGCACCTGCTACTGACTTTACGCCAGGCAAGCACCGACGAACCAAAAGTAGGGAGTTTATTATTACGCAGACAAATCCCTGATTAAGATACACACCCTTTAAAAAGAGATTAAATTATGTTTACGATAAATCAATTCCGTGTGCCGCTATTTTATGACTCTGTGTGTTTTTTTCTCCCCCTTTTTCTTAATATTTATTCTATATTACTTTTCTTTTTTTTTCATTTAAGAGCTCAATTCATCCAATGTTATGGCCGCGTCAATATTATGATAGCGATGACCGAGTCATTTTAAATTATTTTGACAAGACGATTTCCCAAAATATTTTTTTAGATTATAACAAAAATAAAAAAAGAACACATATTAAAACCTTTAAAATGTTGAAATAAAACGAATGCAGTTTGTTATCGGTGTTGAAAAATATCGTACAAAGTTTCTCAAACGGAAAATTTTACTTCGATTGTGGAAGCCCCACTGTTAATTTAATAACGCTGCAAGTGAGATAGGCCCAAATAGCATGTTCAGCGAGCTTATCTACGGTAGTTCAAAGATCCATGTTGGTAAATACGCCAGTGCTATACTAACTGACCTGTTCGCGATACATTTACTTCGAACAACAAAGTCTAAAGAAATGGCATTCAGGTGAAAACCACTGGGGGCCTAAATGTGTATACGGCGTCATGGCAACTCCGACTTACTTACCTATCAGGAAAGCCTGCCGCAATACAAAATGCAATTTGTGAAGATTGATATTGGTCTGTAGGATGTTATCCAAGTATTTTAACATTGCAGGAGCTGCAGGATATGAAAAAGTATATTTTCAATTAAGTATTTTGACTAGTTTTGGGTCAAAGAACTCAAATGCACTGTTTTATTAAAACTACTTGTATTCACGCGCCCGCTCAAGAACTACTTTCCTAGAAGATGGCGAACTAATAGAAGTTCGCGTTGAGTGAACAGAAATTGATCGAATTCAGAACAATACACTGTTGCATAGGTGAATTATTAGCGGAAAAAGTCGAAGCCAGGAGCTTCGAAGTTTACTAGAATTTTGAAATCTTTATGCAGTAAAGATGGCTGACGTTGAGAACGCAACTGACGATACCCCGGGTGAGAAAGAGGCGAACAAGCCAGACAGTCCCAAGCCTGATACAGAAGTCGCCCCGCCGCTTATCTCCGTGAAAAGTAAGTAAACAGTTTATTTCTTTTTAAAGGGTGTGTATCTTAATCGGGGATTTGTCTGCGTAATAATAAACTCCCTACTTTTGATTCGTCGGTGCTTACCTGGCGTAAAGTCAGTAGCAGGTGCCCGTCACATTATATAACGTTACATGCAGTTCCCACATTTGAGACATTTCGTTTGCGTTATTATCCATCATATATTATACCTGTCTCTTGTGACATTCACTGTCCTTAAATGCTGAAATATTGTTACAGTGATGTTATATTGTGAGGTAGGTGATCCCAGCTTAGGGCTCCTATTTCAACAACTTTTGATGAGCTGGTGTTTGCATTAGTTCTGTCCTCTCTGGGACTTGTTTACTAATCTCCTTCAGTGTGTCTGAACTACAGATCATGTAGAGTGTGCCAGCAAATTAACCCACAATTATACAGTGGCATTTTGGGATTTTATACAAGACAGCATAGTCATAAAAGCTTACATTTCAGTACAGGTCAGGAGTCCTGGCCTCTCTGAAAGTCTGAAATATTTTCCCCAAGAAAAAAGTATAATTTGCCTGTTGTATTATATATCCAAACAGGGGAAAAATTTTTGAAATATTTAAATATGCTAATAGGTTAATTTTTCTATAGACTGAGAAGTTTTAGAAAATTCCGAATGTGAAATATACCAGTAACTATATAGTATAGAATTAAAAAGTGCTGTCCACATTGGTGGGAAATTGGGCAGTGCTGCAAAGAATTATAGTTGAGCTAATTTAACTACATGT